CGGCTGGCACTGGCTCTATCAGACATGGGGGAAGCTTCTGGCAGCTTCTCACAGAAGCCACCCCTGCAGCCCCCCTGCTACCAAAACCTTGCCACACAGACCCAAAATTTTAAAATAAAATGACAAATTTTCAGCTCCCTGATATATATAGAGCAAACTTACATTAAGCATAGCTTTCTGCGCACATTACCATTTTCTCTTGATTTGGAGAGATTACTCATCTTTCCCTTTTAAAACATGAGAGAGGCAGAATTTGGGAAGTTTCTCAGGATTGCCTGGTGCATAAAGCATTTACCCAGACAGTGGAACAACTTGGGTCCTAGGGTCAGCGTATCCTGAGGTGCCCGACTCTCTAGATAGCTGTTCTGACTGCCAAACAGGGTGAGCAGGAACAAGGGGCAACACAGCCAACCATGTGAGAGGTGGTGACCGGAAGGACCAAGCCAGGACAGAGAACCTTCCTGTGGTCTTGCCTGTAAGAAGTACTTGGCCGGGAAGGGGCAGATGTGGAGCCTGGCTCCTGTCTTGACAGGTAGTTACATGGCTGCTTTATACCAGCATCGCTGTCATCTTATTTTACTCCGTTTGAATGACTTAACCATTAGGATAATGTTTTGTATTTTACATTGGACACCTTGGGAATCACGCCCCAAGAGCATTAAAGGTTTGGGGGCAAAAATAAACAGATAAATCTGAACCGTTTCTGAATTCTGAATCATTTCAGAAAATTGAACACTCCTCCAAATGTGAGCAGAGCTGCATGTAAGCAATTATTTCTTCTAACAGCTATTCCGCCTCCTAGGGAAATGATGCATCCTTTGGTTATACAAAACCTTTTGGAAAATGCTGAATAATGAAATTAAGTATCATCATAAATAATTGAAAATACAGTTTCAACATTAAATTTAGAGAAAATTACAGAGTTTAATACGTCAATTTTATAGCTTGCTTTTTTCATACCAAAATTGCAGTCATTTTGTGGTAATTTGAATTTAAATGTCATAATTTTAAATACTAATCTGCAATCTCTTAAATATTAATTGCTTGATTTACCAACCTGGGATCCTGACAACAAAGCCTAAGGGCCCGGTTTGGACCATGTAAATGTCACCGAAGTCAGGACATACACATGAACTCAGTTCCTCTGTTAGAGAGGGAGAGATTTTGGACTCCTGTGACTGTAAGTAATGAGCGACATTTCCAGACTGGGAAGAGTTTTAAGACAAGGGGGAAAACACACACACAAGGAGGAAGAGGCAAGTATTTAGAGGGGGAAAAAAAAAAAAAAAAGGAGAGGTGTGAAGGCCAAATAGTAAATAAGAGGGAACACAGGTGAAGCCGGTGATAGATAACAGAGTACTGGAAATATCCCCAGCAGTCATTGCGAACTGCTTTATCAAGGTTATGTCTGATGCACTGATGTCGGATCTCAGGGCTCCATGGACCCTCCTGGGAATGTATGAACGGGGCAGGCGAGGGGCAAAGCGCAGCCGGAGGTGCAGCAGGCAGGTCCGCAGCCGCTGTGAAGGGCAGCAGGCTCATCCGCTCCATGCGTGCTGTGTGGTTTCCTGTGCTGCAGCAGGAACATGCACTGGGACCTTCGTAAATGCCATTATGTCCGCTACTCCGTGAAGGGTTTTCTAGCCAGTAATTTTAGGGCCAGAAGGCCAAAGAACAAAGGTACAATAAAGGCTACTTCAGAGAATCACAGAATCTCTAAGGCTGGAAAAGACCTCTAAGATCATCAAGTCCAATATCAACCCAACATCACCATGCCTGCTAAATCACATCCTAAAGTGCCATATCCACACATTTTTTGGACACCTCCAGGGTTGGTGACTCCACCACCTCCCTGGGCAGCCTGTTGCAATGCCTGACCACTCTTTCAGTAAAGAAATTTTTTCCTAATATCCAATCTAAACCTCCCTGACGCAACTTGAGGCCATTGCCTCTCGTCCTGTTGCTAGCTACCTGGGAGAGTTTCTTGCTGTCCTAGTGAAGGGTCCCACCAATTTGTGCCTGGCTAAGACATTAAGGGAGAGAAGAAGAGTGCATCCGGGTGTTTTCATAATGCAGCTTGGAGACAGACTGGCTAATGCTTAACAATACCCTAACAACAGCTGGAGAAGCTCATAGGGTAAGGTTGTACATGTGGTCCCCAAGCCCAGCCCAGGAAGAACAGCAGCTGCTCTCCAACAGAACACACCTGAGAAAGCACGGTAGGATTCAAAGTCAACTTCGTTTCCTTGAGTCCTGCACTATTTCTGGGCCATTTTGAGCAACTTTCACGTGCACAAATAGATGCTGCAAGCAATGTATACACAAGGTATATGTCCTGGTTTTGGTTAAAACAGAACCGTGACAGTATAAAATCTTTATTTATTTATTAAGACAAACAAGAGATGATTGGGATTTAGTAAGCTCTCAGAGTAAGCATCAATATCCTCATCAAGGCATCTTTAATAGCCAGGCAGGCGTCAGCTAGAAGAGGAGGGGTTGTCCTACAGGGCTCTCTGGCATAGGTCTTTGATGGTACTGAGTTGCCGTCTTCTGAGAGTTTTTTTCTTTTTTTGGCTTTAGTATTTCTTAATCTTTTCACGTTGGTAGGGTTTTTTTCTCGCTTAAATCCCTGAAGTGCTACTGACACTCAACCATCCCACCTCCACCTGTAGTTTTACCTTATCTTGCTTGACTCTTCTCTATAAACTTTCTGA